TTCGTTCGTTCGTTCGTTCGTTCGTTCGTTCGTTCGTTCGTTCGTACCTCAGTAAGGGTGTTTTCAGGCAGTATTCTCTCAGACGGTCCTCCGACCCAATAGGACTTGACCAGGATATGGTTGATCTCTACAGAACACATGTCAATAATGTAGTCCTTCCTGGAAAAAAAAACACAATTTTTTTAAAAAGGTATTCCCATCTGACTACCCCATTGACTTACCTATTCTCCAGTCTTTTGTCTAACTGGGCCTGTAGTAATAAGATCATCCCATTGACTTGCCCATTATCTAGTCTTTTGTCTAACTGGGCCTGTAGTAATAAGATCATCCCATTGACTTACCCATTATCTAGTCTTTTGTCTAACTGGGCCTGTAGTAATAAGATCATCCCATTGACTTACCCATTCTCCAGTCTTTTGTCTAACTGGGCCTGTAGTAATAAGTCTGTAAAGTGATAGGTTGATTCCAGGAATAGAAATGTATCCAGACACGAACACAGCACACTTAATATCCTGAAATAAACGGGAAATACATCAAAATTCAGTGTTGTTAAAACTCAGCTGAATTATTCCATCTATTATTCGAATTATTCTATAATTCGTAATTATTCTAAGGGTATTTATCTGTAGCCGTGCCACTTCCTCTGTAACCTTATCTAACTGAAGATGAGTAATAGTAAAGCATTACGATGTTACGGCATGTCGTACCGTGCGTGCTGTAAGTCAGCCCTATCTATATGTTTTACCTCTCGTATGGGAAACCATTTCAATGTTACGGCATGTCGCAACCTGTGCGTGCAGTAAGTCAGTACCGCGGGTTTTCTGCCCTTACGAAAAACCGCTCTCTGAGATCTGTCCTCACACATCTTACCTTAGCCCAAAGTGATGTGACTGCTCATAATTGAATAGTGCGCTTATTTTGAGGTCAGAATCGATCATGATCAGCCTATCAATAAGTTCCTATAAAGAAAATAGAATTAGATCAGAACAGTGGAAAGATTGGAGAAAGACGATGTTCCGCATACAGTTGATGAGCTTTTTTAATGTGATAAAATTTTAAGCAAAGACAACAAGGAAAGTAGTTTGGTGAGCGATATCATAAACCAGTGTTGCTCATGTTTTCATTTAGCTATACAGCTTGTACAGCTTGACGCATGGTTTGCTCGGCCATTGCTCTAGCTTATCGCTGCTTGTGTTTTATAATTTATCCCAGTGCGGAATATCATACAATTGGTAACATATAAGAGGCCATGCATACTAGTTGACTGACTAGTATAATTGGAACTGTTGTTCTCAAGTGTTACAGCTTAAATATCGCACGAGGCGCACCCAAGTCATTCATGTTAATCGTCTAATTGCTAAATATCCGTTAATTATTGAGGGCCACAAGTTTATCAGTTAACAAAATTACTGTCACGTATCACCCTCATTTAATAAAGTCTTCAATTCAATTCAATTCAATATAGTTCTACACAGGCGATATTTGCGGCAATTTTGCTTATGTTTCTAAAGAGAAATTTGCCCAATTAATCTTGGTGTCCAGAATCAAACTTTACAATTTATTCCTTTACCATTTATTCCTTTACCATTCTTGAATATGACTTCTCGCCGCAAAAATCGCACTTCAAATCGCAGCAAAAATTGCTCGTGTAAACGGATGTTTACAAGTATCTCATGATGTTTTACTTACAGCGAGAGTAGTAGGATTACCAGTTGCTACTGCTGTTATTTCCTCTACTTCTGAGGTGGATGTCGATGGTCGGTTCACGTCAGACAGGACTTCATACACAGCACAGAAGGCAGACAGAACGCTGAGAATGTTATTGAGAGACTAAAACAAAACAAAAAAGGGCTCAGATTTTCCTTGTACTTGCACTACTGGAGAGATGGCAATTGTATTGCAGAAGCATATAAGCGCTTGCTCCGAAGATTCTTGAAGAAAAAGAAAACGCGCGCGTGCTTTGTACAGTTATAAAGCACGCGGGGGTTGGCATAACACTAGAAAGTGTTTAAGAGAAGCACGAAGCGTAGAACTGAATAAATAAGTACAACTGCCTTGTTCTAAAAACTGCCGTCTATCGTATCAATGTGTTTATTGGTAGCATTGTAGGTGGTAAGTGGTAGGTGGTACCAATGTAGGTGTGGTAAAGACCATAGCGCACCCTTTATATCATTATAAATGCCTTGTTATAAGACTTGCTGTCTATCGTATCGATGTGTTTATTGGTA